AATGTTTCCTGGCTTTTTCGTTTTCAGGAAGGATGGTCCAACTCGCCTTTATAGTGAGATGCTGGTATTTGGTTCTACTGGGATAGAACTATTGCAAGGGGAAGTAATGGCCTAGTGGTATTTTCACTGGACTGTTAATCCAGAGACCTAGATAATGTTTTGGGGACCCGGGTTCGAATCCTGTCATGGCAGATGGTGGAATTTGAATTCAATAAATATCTGGAATTGTGAATCTAATGATGACTGTGAATCTACTGATGACCATGAATCCATTGTCAATTGTAAGGAAAAACCCATCTGCTTCACTAATGTCCTTTAGAGAAGGAAACTGCCATCCTTACCTGGTCTGGCCTACATGTGACTCCAGGCCCACAGCAATGTGGTTGACTCTTAACTGCCCTCTGGGCAATTAGGGATGGGCAATAAATGCTTCCTAGCCAGTGATGTCCTTGTCCCATTAATGAATTTAAAGAAGTTAAACCCAACTAAATATTTTTGAGATATTGCTTTTTGATATTGAATTGTAATTGTTTTAAACAATGACAGGGTTCTCTGCTCAGTGTAGCTGTCAGATTGTAACAAATTTGTTTTTATTTGAATATTATATCAAATACCAAAAGATTGTCCACCTCCCAACAGATTCAAGCAGCATCCTGCATCTCCTCCATCTGCCCAAAAGCCTCTACCTGTCCACCGACTGCCAGTTGCTTCCTGTGGTGTGGCTGTGACCAAAAAGAAAATTGAGAAGGAAGGAAAACCAAAGCCCAAACCGGAGGTTGGGGGACCGGAGCACGAAATTAGGCAGATGTCGGAAAAAGAGTCCTCAGCGAAGTTATCAAACAAAACCAAAGATACTGATCAGAAACCAGGTATGACATGATCACAAGAAGTGACAAGAAACTCTTTTAAGGAAAACTGAAGCAGTTTGTAGATGAAAGTTACTGGTGAGGGCCCCATGGATTGCCCTATTGAGAATACCCAATCTGTAACAGCCGCCTGCATTTATATAACAAAGAACAAAGAAAATTACAGCACAGGAACAGGCCCTTCGGCCTCCAAGCCTGCGCTGATCCAGATCTAAACCTGTCGCCTATTTTCCAAGGATCTGTATCCCTCTGCTCCCTGCCCATTCATGTATCTGTCTAGATACATCTTAAATGACGCTATCGTGCCCGCCTCTACCATCTCTGCTGGCAACGCGTTCTAGGCACCCACCACCCTCTGCGTAAAGAACTTTCCACATATATCTCCCTTAAACTTTTCCCCTCTCACCTTGAAATCGTGACCCCTAGTAATTGAGTCCCCCACTCTGGGGAAAAAGCTTCTTGCTATCCACCCTGTCTATACCTCTCATGATTTTGTAGACCTCAATCAGGTCCCCCCGCAACCTCCGTCTTTCTAATGTAAATAATCCTAATCTACTCAACCTCTCTTCGTAGCTAGCACCCTCCATACCAGGCAACGTCCTGGTGAACCTCCTCTGCACCCTCTCCAAAGCATCCACATCCTTTTGGTAATGTGGCGACCAGAACTGTACACAGTATTCCAAATGTGGTCGAACCAAAGTCCTCGATCTGTAACATGAATATATATAGCACCCTCAATTTGTAAAGTATCCCAAGGTGTTTCACATGAGCAATTATTAAGCAAAGGTTGACACAACCAGGTGATACTGGAACAGGTGACCAAAACAGAAACCTTGAGGGAAGCCAGTTTATTTTCCCTCACCAATTGCTGAAAACTGTTGCTTTTAGCCAAAAAAGTCAGAGACTGTAATTTGTGACTTATTTGCTCTGTGCCTCTTGCAAGCAAATGAATGGATCTAGAAAAGAGATCGAGAAACAAGTCGAAGGCAGGCCGAAGAGATCATCTCGGGAACTCTGGGCAGGGCCACTGCACAGTCTTCCCAGTTTTCCCTCCACCCAGAACGCCAATTTTTTTTTGGCTGCTGGTCTGTTTGAGAGAATGGAGGGAGTTTGTAACGGGGTTAGAGTTTTAACCAGTATTACAATGAGGTAAAAGATCTGCTGGGGAAACAGTGACCATAGCATGGTAGAATTTAGCATTCAGTTTGAGAGTGAAAAACTTGGGTTGGAAACCAATATTATTCTACAGAAGTAAGTGTAATTACATGGGAATGATGGTAGAGTTGACTAAAGCAGACTGGGCAAGATGTTTAGCAGAGAAAATGATTGAACACGGCAAACATTTTTTTAAAAGAAACGTCATGACCCACAACAAGGATACATCCCAGTGAGGAAGAAGGATTCTAGGGAGGGCATGAACCAACCATGGTTGATTTAAGGGAAGCTAATCACAGTCTTGAATAGGAAGAAAAAATATACAATTTGGCAAAGATTAGTGACAAATTAGTATCTTTCTATTCCATCCTAAAACAGATTTCACAGAACACTGGAATAATGAGCAGTGTCACACCAGTTTGGAATGGAGGGAAGGTCTTACAAGGAAAGGTTTAGAGAGCTAGGGCTTTTCTCTTTGGAACAACGAAGGATGAGAGGTGACTTGATAGAGGTGTATAAAATGATCAGAGGTATAGAGTAGACAGCCAGAGACTTTTTCCAAGGTGGAGGTGGCTATTACGAGGTGGCATAGTTTTAAAGTGAGTGGAGGTAGATATAGGGGAGACGTCAGAGGTAGGTTCTTTACTCAGAATGGTAGGGGCGTGGAATGCATTGCCGGAGAAGGCAGTGGAGTCGGCCTCATTAGGGGCATTTAAGCGGCTATTAGATAGGCATGTGGATGATAGTATAAAGTAGGGGTGAAGGTTAGATAGACCTTAGGTTTAGGGTGAAAGTTTTGCACCACATCGTGGGCCGAAGGGCCTGTACTGTGCTGTACTGTTCTATGTTCTTCCAAAATAAGAGCCATGGTTGCAACTGTATCAATGATGGCAGTAAGTTGTAAATCCCTGATTTTCATTTTTACTTCGGATGCTGGGATCGTCTGAGAATCTTGTCCCAATTTCCCTGACTCGCTGCTGCTAAATTTCAGGGCTTTTTATCCTGGGGGCATTCACATCCCTGCTGTTGAGTCTACTTTCATCATTCTTTCAAGCAGAGCATTTCAGATCACATCTCATTTATAAGATTCAAGCAGATCGTAACAACAGATCGTATGCAGTAAAATCTTTCATACTTTTCCTGTGCCCTCGTTCACAAATTGAAATCTTTTTCTTGTTGTGCTTGTTGGTTTGAAGACATTTGGTATCCATGGAGTAAAATAATCTTTCCACGGTGATCAACGTTCAGCACGTAAAACTTACTATCTAATCCACTGCTCCTATATTAAGCTTCAATCCTAAACTGAGGAAAAGTAGCGAAGTTATTCCATTTGCCATTCTAACTATCTTTGTGGGATTAGAAATTTCAATGCCAAATTTATGGGCACACAGAACTTATCTGAGGAATTCTCGGCTCAGTTCTCTGGCAGCCAGCTGAAGGGAGACTTTTATTCCATCCGATCTTATGTAGAAACTCTCCCTTAACAGCAATTAGAAAGTGCAAAGTCAGTTCAAGTATTTACAAACTGAATGAATGCACACAGAACTGCAGTCTTTATTCTCAGAAATGCATAAGGTTATGAAATGTAGCAGTTTTCCAATAGTGTAAAATGAGACTACGCAGCATTCCAAATAGCCTTGCTATTTTCATTGAGGTTGGTATAAATGGTATTTGAATTTTGAAAGCATGCTTGTCAGGATGTTTGTACTCAAGCTTGAACTGTGTTAAATTAACCTCCTTGTCATGACTCACTGGGGTAGCATGCTGGAAATCAAGCCCCACTTTCCCAAGAGTCATCACAGAAGTTAAGGATTTTTAGTAATATGCAAAGGTTCTCTAATTTACTAGACTTTTATATGCAGGTTGACGGAAAGTATGGACCAAGTTTCTGTACTTAACAAAAATTATTATTTAGCACAAATAATTGGTGTGCCCCTACAAGTAAACCATTATGAACCATCAGCATGTAACTCTACAAATTAAAACCTGAATCCTTTAAACTCTTCCTGACACAAGCACAGACGTTGGCAGGCTAAAAAGCACAAGGTGTAGACAGGGATCACTGAAAATAATTCAATGTTTCATGTTCATAGGGGTTGCTGAGATGATTCTTGTGGTGCTCAGGGCTCTGCATTTTATTTATGTATATTCATTCATGGGACATTGGCATTGTTGGCTGGCCAGTATTTATTGTCCACCTGTAGTTGTCCTTGAGAAGATAGTGGTGCACTGCCTTCTTGAACTACTGCAGTCCATATGCAGTGGTTGACCCACAATGCTGTAAGAGAGGGAATTCCAGGATTTTGACCCGGTGACACTGAAGGAAGTGAAGTGCTTCTTAGTCATCCTTCTCCAATGTTTTCACAGGTTTGCTAGAGGCACAGGGTGGCTGGTTCACTTATGAAAGTTCTCTGATTTGTGAATTAATAGTCACAGCTTACAGCATCTATTGAAGGAAAGCTAGACTGGTTTACTTCAGACCTGAAGGAGAGAAAGCTCCTGGTGCTAGTCTGAATACCTTCTCTCTCTCGTTCATGGCCGCAAGTTGCGCAGTTACCTGCGAACTAGTCATTTGGTTGTTGGCAGGCAGAAAGCATTTGTCATTGGTCTGTGGACAATGACTAGTTATCAATCAACTACTAGTTGCCAACCAAAGCTCTATCTGTACACAGCTCCTCAAATCCAGCTTGTCTACAAAGTACACTCCAATTCCTGGTTCACAAGCAGCTGTATAAACAGTGCCTACGTTGTAACTCGAGCTTTCAGGTATACAGTAATCCTTGGTTTTTAAAACAGTACTTTTCTTGTTTCATTCTACAGTCAGAACTACAGGAAAAATACAAAAACACTGGTCTTGACATCTCCCACATCTGAATTTTACTGTAGCAAAGTCACATTTTCTAATTTGTAGAATGGCTAAAGGTTAAAACAATAACATTGGAGCAGGCCTTACCTTGAAGTGAAGAATTTTAATTGTTCACTGTAAAATGCGTTAAACATCCTCAGTGCTTGCTGCTGTCAGTGATCCTTCTACATTTTCTTTGTTGTTTGCAGCTTGTTAGTTTCTTCATTTCAATTCATGGTACTTTTAAATGCATGGTGGGGGGGTAGTTTGGTGGGAGCAGGCCTTGTGTATGCAGGTTCACTTAACAGAACCGTTTGTGAGTAAACTTCACAGATATTGTATGGCCGTGCACCTGTACAAAGAACAAAAATTGCTGACTACCTAGACTTCACTTGCTATCAATTGTTCACTCACTGATACTTTAACTTGCTATTGCAGGGACCACGTCTGCTGAGGAAGCTGCTAGAATCTTGGCTGAGAACCGGCGTCTGGCTCGTGAGCAGAAGGAGCGTGAGGAGCAGGAGAGACTTCAGTTACAAGAAGCTGAGAGGTGAATGGGATGTATGATTCAGTGCCACAAACATTGCTATCAAAGTGCAGCTGTCTTGTAGCGGCATACCCTGTGTTTCAGATTCAAGCATGCAGTCAGCAAACTAGAAGTGTTTCCATAATTTACATTTAGATTTGTATACCTAGAGAGCTCAGTGATTTTGCCATCATATCGAATTCCACAGAGCGATTGGGAATGAGATTAGTAAAAGGATGGATGACTGGTGATTCATTATGAATGAATCATGATGCCAGCTGATAGTAACACTGGACAAGTTAGGTCCCAGAATGTAACTTGTCTTGATAGACTATAAGTTTAAGTTTGCAGTTGGTTGCTGTGGTGGTCACTCACTGGAACATATTCATATGAAGCTGCAGGTATTCTTTTCATAGTAGAGATGAGTTTATTACAGAAAAGATGAAAAATGAAGCTGCATATGTGCCACAGTTTAAAAAGACCTTGACAGAAACAGCAAAACAAAGTTTAAGGTTGTTTCCCAACGCACACCTTTTACAGATACTCCATTCCAGGGAAACTTTGCTCCTACATCAACTGAGGTTTTAACTTAATTGAGTCTTCCAGTTTCTTTTCCTTGGACTACAAAGACAATTATGTGATTTCTTTTCCAAGTCCACTGTCCTGATCCTGTTCTGATGGCCTAGACTTTTCTCAATTCTAACAACCTGAAGATTTTGATCTAAATCTGCAGGCTCGGGTGTATCACAAACTACCCTGAATTAAACATTTGATTATCTTGCTAGAAGAAAACAAACTTTTTTCTAAACCAAACTCTTGGTTCCTCTGAGCTCTGACCTTCAACAGTTTATTCTGAAGTCAAACAAATGGTCTTGATGTGTTTACACTATCTATTGTAAACACAAAGTATACGTTCCTGTGAGACACTTGACTGTAGTCACCTGATTTTTTGGGATTGATGCACATGAGTCACTGTTCCAAATGATATTCTGACTGTTTTTAGAAAGTTACCTTCACAGAACTGACCCATATCCAACTGCCTCTGTTGAAATCCTATTCCCAAACTATATATAATGCATCTTTCATGACAATGGAGATTTTTGTAGAAAACCTTTTTATGCGGTTTGCTTAGGTGTGTTAAATGCTTGATAAGACTCCATTCAGCCCATGGAGTCCATGTCATTCAAGAAGACCATGCTTCATCTGATCATCCTCAACTTCGCTTTCCTGCTTTCTCCCCATAACCCTCAATCCTCTTACTGATGAAAAATCTCTCAACCTTGAAAATATTTAATAACCCAGCCCTCTGGTAAAGAATTCCACCGATTCACTACACTCAGAGAAGAAAATTTCTCCACATCTCTGTCTTATGACAAAATGTGTGACCCCTTATTCTGAAATGATGCCCTCTGGCCCTGGGTTGTCCCACAAGGGGAAATAACCTTTTTGCATCTACCCTGTGAAGTCTCGTAAAAATATACCATCTTTCAACAAGGTCACTTCTCATTCTTCTAAACTCCAATGAGCACAGGCTCAACCTCTCCTCACAAAACAGAAACGGACCCGCCGTTCCTTATAGCAACATTGTGAACCTTCTCTGGACTGCTTCTAATGCCAGTATATCTTCCCCCTAAATAAGGGGCTCAAAGCTGTTTACAGTATTCCAGCTGTGGTCTGAATAGTGCCTTGTATAGTTATAACAAAATCTCCCTACATTAATACTCCATTCCCATTGAAATAAAAGCAAACATTGCTTTTGCTTTGCCTAATTACCAGCTAGACTTGGATGCTAGCTTTTTGAGATTGGACAAGGATAGTTTTCTGAATTCTTTCTCCATTTAAATGATATTAAGCTTCTTTATTCTTCCTGCTAAAGTACATAATCTCACATTTCCACAATATATTCTATCTGTCAAGATTGTGTCATCCTCATCACTTGCTTTCCCCCCACCTATTTTTGTATTTTCCTCACAATTGGCTATAGTGCATATACTTTCCACATCCAAGTCACATATATTGTAAATCATTGTCCTTAGCTCTGATCCACGTGGCTCTGCATCCTGAAAATGCCTCCTTTATCCCAACTTTTTGTCTTCTATTAGTTAGCCAGTCCCTTATCCATGCTTATGTAGTATCTCCACCATCATGTGCTCTTATCTTATTGAGTGGCCGTATATGTGGTATCCTTTCAAACGCCTTCTGAAAAGCCCCTTTATCTGTCCTGCTTGCTGCTACCTCAGAGTTCTAATAAATTTGCTAAGCATGATATCCCCTTCATGAAACCCTGCTGACACTGTTTGATCATGTTATACATTTCTAAACACTCTCTACTATTACATCCTTTATAATAGACTCTAACATTTTCCCGATAACATCAGATGTTAAACTCATTGGCCTATTGTTTCCTTCCCTTTCTAAGTAAAGGTGTTACGTTAGCAGTTTCCAATCCTCTGACTTTTCCAGCATCTAAGAATTCCTGGAAAATTACTACCAGTTCATCCACTATCTCTGTAGTTACTTCCTTCCTTCCTTTTAATATCCTAGGTGGTGTCCCCTCAGGTCCAGTGAAGGTATCGGCCTTTAGCCCCGTTATTTTCCCTAAACTCCTCTCTTTTAATCATTGCATTTATTTCCTGTCCTTTTACCCCTTGATTATTTAGTAATTGCGGAATGCTATTAATTTCTTTACTGTGAAAACTGATACAATGTGTTTATTCAACTCCCCTGCCATTTCCTAGTTCCCCATTATTACTTCCCCAGCCCATTCTCTAAAGAGTCTATGTTCACTTTGGCTTCTATCTTTCATTTTATATATTTAATGCCTCCTGCTGTCCATCTTGATATTTAGTCAGCATGGACAAGTTGGACTGAAGGGTTTGTTTCCATACTACGTGACTGTACTTGCAAGTTTACCCTCAACACTTATATCCTCCTCTGTTCTTACTTTGCCCATCTTTTGTTGGTTTTTACAACTTTCCCAATTCCCTGGCTTACCGCTAGTCTCTGCCACATTTGTTTTTGTTTTCTTTTAATTTGATGCTATCCTTAACTTGCCTGGTTAGCCGTGTTATTTCCTTTTTCTTCGCTAAAACATATTTTTGCTTTGATCCACGAGCTATTTTCTTAAACATCTGCCGTTTCTTAAACTGTCTTTGCTGCTAAACCCTTTTCCTAGTCCAGTCCAGCCTATTTTGCCTTCATTCATTTGTAATTACCTGTATTTAAGTGCAGTTATTTCCGAGTCAAGTTTCTCCCCTTCAAGCTAAATTTTACCATGTTATGGTCACTGTTCTCTCAGGGATCTTATACACTGATACCCTTTGTTAAATCTATCTCATTTACCTAAAATGGCTATTAAGACTCCTTTTGAAAGTAACTTTAAAGGGTATTTGAAAGGTTGCAAGTGTGGTTGAAGAGCTAACATTGTCACAGGGTGATGGGATGAATGGCAATCTCCTGTGCTGTATTTTCTATGATCCTTTGAATTGTGAGGAAGAATGATTTTCTTGAGCTCCAATCTGTATTTGGTGGAGTCATGGTATTTAAAACTCACTACAGAGAATATTGTGCATTTTTTTTAAAAGGTGCAGGAAAGAAGAGCTAAAGAAGAGAGAAACTGAAGAGAGGGCCCGCAGGGAAGCAGAAGCCCATCTGCAGGAAGAGGAGAGAAAACTGACAGAAGAGGAAAATCAAAGAAAAGCTGAAGAGGAAAGGATTTGTAGAGAGGAAGAGGAGAGAGAGCGTCTATTAGATCTGCAGCTCCAGGTCAGAGTTCACATAGTTTTAGCTTTGTGTGGGTATATTCTCAAACGTCTTATTAAAGCTTGAAGAACTGACAAAACGCTGTACATCAAAACTCTCTTCCCTTTGTACTCTGATTATTATGATAAGACTGGGTTTCTGTTGCAACAGTACTGTCAATGTACAGGATTCTTTGGAAAGTGACTCTGCTTGTCCTTTTTAATTCAAGAATAATATTACTTCAGTAGGTTGACACCAAGCTGTGACATTATAATTTTTACCCAGAATCATTTTCTGTTCCTTCCAACAAGCAGATATGTTTTCAGATCAGTTTATTGAATAATGAACAGATTCTCATTGTTGTTTTCTATCACTGATCTGCTGTTTTAAACAGTGCAGATTTTATATCACACAATACACAGCACAGCATGCTGCTGTTTCCCAGAGGCAACATAATATTTTGGTAAGTAGGGCCACTCTGAGGACATTTGTTCAATGGCCTGACAGTTGGTTGTATTTCCTTTGCTTGCCTGGAGGAAGGGGAAATGCTTGCCTTTTATTTATCTTTTTAAACTGAAAGATTATTTTACATCAGTATATATGGCAGGTGCTCACCAAACGCGTAGAACATAGAACAGTACAGGCCCTTCGGCCCACTGTGTTGTGCCGAACTTTTACCCTAAACCTAAGGTCTATCTAACCTCCACCCCTACCTTATACTATCATCCATATGCCTATCTGATAGCCGCTTAAATAGCCCTAATGAGGCCAACTCCACTACCCTCTCCGGCAATGCATTCCACGCCCCCACCACTCTCTGAATAAAGAACTTAACTCTGACGTCTCCCCTATATCTACCTCCTTTCACTTCAAAACTATGCTGCCTCGTAATAGCTACCTCCACCCTAGGAAAAAGTCTCTGGCTGTCCACTCTATCTATACCTCTGATCATTTTGTACACCTCTATCAAGTCACCTCTCATCCTTCGTCGTTCTAAAGTGAAAAGCCCTAGCTCTCCCAACCTTACCTCGTAAGACCTTCCCTCAATTCCAGGTAGATTTCCTCTGCGCCTTTTCCAATGCTTCCACATCTTTCCTGTAATGAGGTGACCAGAACTGGACACAATACTCCAGATGTGGCTGAACCAGGCATTTGTATAGCTGGAGCATAACTTCACGGCTCTTGAACTCGATCCCTCTATTAATGAAAACTAACACACCGTATGCCTTCTTAACAACTCTATCCACCTGGGTGGCAGCTTTCAGGGAACTGTGGACATGAACCCTGAGATCCCTCTGCTCCTCCACACTGCCAAGAATCTTTTCTGTTAACCCTGTATTCTGCTTTCAAATTTGTCCTTCCAAGATGAATCAACTCACACCTCTCAGGGTTAAACTCCATCTGCCACTTCTCAGCCCAGCTCTGCATCCTATCAATGTCCCTTTGTAACTTAAAACAGCCCTCTGCACTATCCACAACTCGACCCACCTTCGTATCGTCCGCGAACTTACTAATCCACCCTTCCACTCCTACATCTAAATCATTTACAAAAATCCCAAATAGAAGAGGACCCAGAACAGATCCTTGTGGTACGCCACTCGTAACTGAGCACCATGTTGAATATTTTCCGTCCACTACCACCGTTTGTCTTCTAAGGGTCAGCCAATTCTGAATCCAATCTGCCACATTTCCGCTATCATATGCCTCCTTACCTTCTGCATGAGCCTACTATGGGTAACCTTATCAAACGTCTTATTTAACTCCATGTATACCACATCCACTGCTGTACCTTCATCCAGTGTTTGGTCACCTCTTCAAAGAATTCAATAAGGTTTGTGAGGCATAATCTATCCCTCACAAATCCATGCAAGATTTGTCTTTTTCACATGCAGTTTCCAGTATGGGTATTGAGAAGGTTGTGAACATTTTAAGAGTTTCCTGGAATCTTAAGAGTTCAGAAAGTGACTATTCAACCCATTGTCTTGCACCAGCTCTTTTGGAAGAGATGTTGAATACAACAATGTCCAGGCTTGGGCTGACAAGTGACAAACAACATTCACACTACACAAATGCCAGGTTATGACCATCACCAATAAGAGAGAACCTGACCACAGCACCTTGACATTCAGTGGTGTTACCATCACTGAATCCCCCACTATCAACATCCTTGACCAGAAACTTAGCTGGACTCACCACATAAACAGTGGCTACAAGAGCAAGTCAGAGGCTAGGAATACTGCAGCAACTGATTCCCTAAAGCCTGTCCACCATATACAAGGCACAAGTCAGGAGTGAGATGGAATACTCCCCACTTGCCTGGATGGGTGTGGCCCCAACAACACTCAAAAAGCTTGACGCCATCCAGGACAAAGCAGCCCCCGCTTGATTAGTGCCACATCCACTCCGTCCACCACTGACGCTTAGTAGCAGCAATGTGTACTATCTACAAGATGCACTGCAGAAATTCACCAAAGATCCTCAGGCAGCACCTTCCAAACCCACGACCTTTTCCATCCAGAAGGACAAGGGCAGCAGATACAATGGAATACCACCCCCTTTAAGCTCCCCTCCAAGCCACTCACCGTCCTGATGTGGAAATATATCGCCATTCCTTCTCTGCTGGGTCAAAATCCTGTAATTCCCTTCCTAAGGACGTGGGTTAACCTACAGCACATGGACTGCAGCAGTTCAAGAAGGCAGCTCGCCACCATCTTCTCAAGGGCAACTAGGGATGGGCAAGAAATTTTGGCTCATCCAGTGATGCTCACTTCCCATAAATGAATTTTAAAACATGACACAGTATCAGATCACACATCACGAGTGATTATCCTTACAGCATCCTGGATCGTGAATAGAATAAGCATTAGTCTACAGCCCGAGATTAAGGCAGAATTTCTCAAAATGGTGATTACACCCAAGTGAACTAAAATTACAGATTAAGAGATCAGTAGATTTCAGGAAATTCTCACTTCATTCCTGTGAACGAGATGGTGGTGGAACTCCAGCAATGTCTGGCACAGGTGCTTTGGTCCCTCCTGTTAACTAGTTGAATGTTTCCTGGGTTAAGACATTGAAATTAGGGCAATCTGGCCTTCATGGTTTATTTCGGTGTTAGACTATGGCTGTGACCTCAATAATCATGAAGTACTTTGAGAGGATGGCCATGGCCCACATCACCTCTGGTCTCCCGGCCTGCCTCGATACCCTACAGTTTGCCTACCGACGTAACAGGTCCACAGAGAATGCCCTGCACTCATCCCCGGAACTTCTGGACAACAAGGACAGGTAGGTCAGGCTCTTTTTCATCAACTGCAGCTCCACCCTCAACACCAATATCCCCTGCAGACTGATCTCAAAACTCCGTGACCTTGGTCTCGGCTCCGCCCTCTGCAACTGGATCCTCAGCTTTCTGACCCATAGACCACAATCAGTGCACCTCCTCCACAATAACACTCAACACTAGAGCCCAAAAAATGCATCCTCAACCCCCTACTGTACTCCCTGAACACCACGACTGTGTTGCTAAATTCCAAATGAACTCCATCTACAATTTTGCTGACACCACCACCGTGGTACGACAGCTATCAGCAATGATGAATCAGAATACAGAAAGAAGGTAAAGGCCTTGGTAACATGGTGTGATGGTAACAACATCTGTCTCAACATCGGCAAAACTAAAGGACTGATCATCAACTTCAGAAAGAAAGGAGGAGAACATGCCCCCAACTACATCAACAGAATTGAGGTTGAGGAGGTGGAGAGTGTCAAGTTCCTCAGTGACGATGACTGATGACCTGTCCTGGACTTCCTACGTAGATGCGATAGTCAAGAAGGCACAACAACGCCACCTCTTCCTCAGGTGGGTTGGGAAATTTGGCATGTCCCTAAGGTCCCCCACCAACTTCTACAGATGCACGATTGAAAGTATACTGTCCAGGTGCATAACGCCCTGGTATGGCAACTGCTCTGCCCAGGACTGTAAGAAACTACAGAAGGTGGTGTGCACAGCCCAAACCATTGCGGAAGCCAACCTTCCACCAGTGGACTCCATTTACGCAGCTCGCTGCCGCAGAAAGGCTGCCAAAGTCATCCCATCGCACCCCAGTAATGCTCTCCCACAACCTCTTCTGTCAGGCCGAAGGTACAGAAGCTTGAATACTCTCTCCAGCAGATTCAGGAACAGCGTCTTCCCTGCCATGAATGGACTGTCTAACTTCAAATGATGCTGATCTTGCCTACTGCACGCCCCGTGCAACGTAACCTGTATGCCTCTAAGTTTTTTTTTCATCCTATGATCTGTATGACGTTGCTGACTATGATCTGCCTGTACTGCTCACAAACAAAGCTTTTCATTCTACTTAGGAACACGTGACAATAAATAAATCAAAGCGAAACAGAGCAACAAGTTTTAATGGTTTTAATCAATCTGCAATTATTGTTACTGATTGCTATACTACATTCCCCGATTGTCAGATCGGCCCTGTCTGGAATAACTGCTACAGAATAGTTTGTTCACAATTTGTGGACTACTATACATTCTGTGCTTCTGAAGTCAATGGATGTACTGTCGAGAATTCATCTCGACAGAACAGATGTATTTTACCAAGTGTCATTTTAACCTGTCAAGCGTTTTGTTTAAAAGACCTTTTTTAAAAATCATTTGATGATTAGATGTAAATTTAAACGATACTAAAATCTGAAGTTGGTTGAGAGGTTGCAGCAGTCTGATGCTGCACTGATCTGTATTGTGCTGAGAGGTAATCACTGAGTCTGTGTTTCAGAGAGAAGAAGCAGAAGCAAAAGCTTTGGAAGAAGCTAATCGGCAGAGACTGGAGCGAGAACGGATCACCCAGCAGAATGAGGAGGAACGACGTGCGAGGAAGCAGGTGTGATTTTAATTGACTTGGGTAATTGAACGGCTATGAGCCATAGTACAAGAAATCCAGAAGCCTAAGGAGTAGGAGGAGAATAATGCAAGGAAAATTGGAAAGTATGCAGCTGGGTTTTGAAATGTATATAATTGTGGAGCATCAGGCAGGAACAAGGGAATTGCACACTGTGGGTGTTGGGAAGGCATGCAGTGTTTCTGTCCATAGTGTTCTGCCCTAGGTTAATCATTATTCCACTCAGATTCTCAACTAAATTACTAGGGCAGAGTCTCTGAAGCAGTTCCTGCTGTCCCTCCCTGTATTTGTGGGCAGCACTTGGCTAAAAGTGATCATTGTCTTGACGGTTTAAATTAGTAATGGAGAAGAATTAGGAACAATGCACAGTAGAAATTAGCAGTTAGTTTCATTGGGCTGAGAGAGAGGATTGAGGTGGCATGGAGTGGAACCAAAGGCAGGCAGGGGGATAAACTGTAATGATACAGTGGCAAATCCTTGAGCTGTTTTGGGTGCAGACTAGTGTTGTGATCCCAGATTGCAATTATGAGAAAATTGAACAGATTTGATGTGGTACTCCATTATCATTTAAACAATAAAATGTCTGAAAGAATCTAGGGGAAGAAAATAAGTGGCAGAACTCCAGCATTGAATCGAAATACTAAAGGAATCTGTACTATGCAAACTCAAGCACAAAAAATGAAAGCAATATTGGTGAAAAAGTAAGCTGAGTAAACAATATAAACATGTACCTTAAGCTCAAACTTTTAAGTTTAATCTTTTCTTTAAACTGTGATTTTTCACTCCGGGAAGTTTTTTTTAAACATGCTCATAAACTAGTCAGGAGCTGGGGCGCAAGATACACCAGGAGATAGAAAAGGTGTGTAAGAGTGGCAAAGTTACAGTGATCATGGTGGATTTCAATATACAGGTGGACTGGGAAAATCATATTGGTAGTGGATTGCAAGTAAAGGAGTTTGTAGAATGTCTACGAGACGGCTTTTTGGAGCAGCTCGTGGTGGAGCCCAAGAGGGAACAGGCAATACTGGATTTAGTGATGTGCAATGAGGCAGACTTGATAAGGGAGCTTAAGGTAAAGGAACCCTTAGGAGGCAGTGATCATAAGATGTTAGAATTTACACTGCAATTTGAGAGAGAGAAGATAGAATCAGACGTAACGGTATTACAGCTGAATAAAGGCAACTACAGAGGTATGATGGAGGAGCTGGGCAGAATTGACTGGAAAAGGAGCCTAGCAGGAAAGAGTGGAAAAGCAATGGCTGGAGTTAGAACATAGAACAGTACAGGCCTTTCAGCCCACGATGTTGTGCCAAACTTTTACCCTAATCCTAAAGTCTATCTAACCTCCACCCCTACCTTATACTATCATCTACCTACCTCATACTATCATCATACCTTATACTACGTTATACTCCCAGTTGCTGGGAGTAATTCAGGATACGCAGCAAAAATTCATCCCTAGGAAAAAGAAGCATGGTACAGGGAGGATGAGGCAAGCATGGCTGACTAAGGAAGTCCGGGATAGCATAAAAGCAAAAGAGAAAGCATATACTGTGGTGAAGGGCAGTGGGAAAGCAGAGGACTGGGAAGCTTACAAAAGCCAACAGAGGGCAACAAAGAAAGAAATAAGGAGGGAGAAGATTAAATATGAGGGTAAGCTAGCCAGTAATATAAATGAAGACTGTAAGAATTTCTTTAGGTATATAAAGGGCAAAAGAGAAGCAAAAGTGGACATTGGACCACTAGAAAATGACAGTGGAGAGATGGTAGTGGGGAGCAAGGACATGGCTGAGGAACTGAATAATTACTTCAAGTCAGTCTTCACAGTGGAAGACACGAATAATCTCCCAAAAATTCAAGAGTCGGGGGCAGAGCTGAGTGTCGTGGCCATCACCAAGGAAAAGGTGCTAGTAAAACTGATTGGCCTGAAGGTGGACAAATCACCTGGACCAGATGGACTACACGCCAGAGTTCTAAAGAGATAGCTGAAGAGATAGTGGAAGCATTAGTGTGATCTTTCAGGAATCACTTTAGTCAGGGAGGGTCCCAGAGGACTGGAAAATCGCTAACGTGACACCCCTGTTTAAAAAGGAGTAAGGCAAAAGATGGAAAATTACAGGCCGATTAGCCTAACCTCAGTCATGGGTAAGATTTTGGAGTCCATTGTAAAGGATGAGATTTCTGAATATTTGGAAGTGTAGAGTGAAATAGGGCAAAGTCAGCATGGCTTCATCAAGGGGAGGTCATGCCTGACAAATCTGCTAGAATTCTTTGAGGAAGTAACGAGCAGGTTAGACTAAGGAGAGCCAATGGATGTTATTTACCTGGACTTCAAGAAGGCCTTTGATAAGGTGCCACACAGGAGGCTGTTGAGTAAGATAAGGGCCCATGGTGTTAGAGGCGAGGTGCTAGAATGGATAGAAGATTGGCTGTCTGGCAGAAAGCAAAGAGTAGGGGTAAAGGGGTCTTTCTCAGGATGGCACAAGTCGTGTTCCGCAAGGGTCAGTGCTGGGACCACAACTTTTCACTTTGTACATTAATTATCTCGATGAAGGAACTGTGGGCTTTCTGGCTAAGTTTGCAGACGATACAAAGATAGGTGGAGGGACAGGTAGTATTGAGGTGGGGAGGCTTCAGAAGGATTTGGACAGGTTAGGAGAGTGGACAAAGAAGTGGCAGATGGAGTACAATGTGGGAAAGTGCGAGGTCATGCACTTTGGTACGAAGAATAAAAGCATGGACTATTTTCTAAATGCGGAGAAAATTCAGAAGTCTGAAGTGCAACGAGGCTTGGGAGTTCTAGTGCAGGATTCTCTCAAGGTAAGCTTGCAGGTTGAGTCAGTAGTCAGGAAGGTAAATGCAGTGTTGGCAGTTATTTTGAGAGGACTTGAATATAAAATCAGGGATGTACTACTGAGGCTTTATAAGGCTTTGGTCAGGCCACATTTGGAGTATTGTGTGCAGTTTTGGGCCCCATATCTCAGGAAGGATGTACTGGCTCTGGAGCGGGTTCAGAGGAGGTTCACGAGAATGGTCCCAGGAATGGAAAGCTTAACATATGAAGAACGTTTGAGGACTCTGGGACTGTACTCATTGGAGTTTAGAAGGACGAGGGGAGATCTAATTGAAACTTTCAGAATACGGAATGGCCTGGACAAAGTGGATGTTGGGAAGATGCTTCCATTGATAGGAGAGTCTAGGATCCGAGGACACAGCCTTAGAGTAGAGGGAAGACCATTTAGAATGGAGATAAGGAGAAACTTCTTGGAAATCTATGGAATTCACTGCCACAGAAGGCTGTGGAGGCCAGGTCATTGAGTACATTTAAGACTGAGATAGATAGGTTCTTGATTATCAAGGGTTACGAGGAGAAAGCAGGAGAATTGGGTTGAGGAACTTATCAACCATGATTGAATGACGGAGCAGACTAGGTGGGCCGAATGGCCTAATTTCTGCTCCTATGTCTTATGGTCTTATGGCTGTAGAAGGGATTTAGTTTTTATTCTGAGTCTGGTTTTAAAGATCACAGCTTAGGTCCTTATGGTCAAAATATAAGCATTGCTCACTATGACACGCTGTGACCCATATAGACATTCCCTCAGCATCTGTTCTATAGTTGGACCCCTCGTTTGACAGAGAAAAACCTACCCAGTTCTCTAGAGTTCACTTTTTTCTCTAAGCTTACTAAAGTAAGCTCTTCGGTGAAATACACTGGGCCACATTTTGGCAGTCTGCACATTAACCCTTCCTCTGTCTTGCTAATTTTTTCTTAAAATCCAAAACCAATCAGTTTCTTTTGTGTGGCTCCATCCTCAGCAAATGTCGCCATAGCAACCTCAGGGCTCTCTTGCTTTCAGAAGCTTCTCAGCTGGAACACAAATTTGAGGTTTGTGTGAAAGCATACACAGCCGTGAGATCACACTGAAAGTAATCAATCTCTACCATCCTGGCAGATGGAGTTTAATCTGGAAAAATGTGAGGTAATGCATTTTGGAAAGTCTAAACCAAATGGAAAATATACAGTAAATGGCAGAACTCTTCAGTGTACTAATTGGCAGAGGGATCTGGCTCTACAGGTACACAGGTCACTAAAAGTGGCAACACAGGTGGAGAAGGTAGTCAACAAGGCATATTGCATGTTTGTCTTCATCGGCCGGGGCATTGAGTTTAAAATTGGCAGGTAATGTTGCAGCTTTATAGAACTTTAATTAGGCCGCATTTGGAATATTGTGTTCGGTTCTGGTCGCCACACTACCAGAAGGATGTGGTGGCTTTGGAGAGGATACAGAAGAGATTTACCAGGATGCTGCCTGGTATGGAGGGCATTAGCTATGAGGAGAGGTTGGAGAAACTTGGGTTGTTCTCACTGGAACGACGAAGGATGAGGGGCAACCTGATAGAGGTCTACAAGATTATGAAGGGCATAGACAGACTGGACAGTCAGAAGCTTTTTCCCAGGGTGATAGAGTCAGTTGCTAGAGGGCATAGGTTTAAGGTGTGAGGGGCAAGGTTTAAAGGTGATGTACGAGGCAAGTTTTTTTTTTTTACAGAGGGTGGTGGGTGCCTGGAACTCGCTGCTGGGGGAGGTAGTGGAAGCAGATACGACAGTGACTTCTAAAGGGCGTCTTGACAAATATATGAATAAGATGGTAATAGAGGGATACAGTCCCCGGAAGGGTAGGGGGTTTTAGTTGTGATGGGCACTGTGTCAGTGCAGGCTTGGAGGGCCAAAGAGCCTGTTCCTGTGCTGTAATTTTCTTTGTTCTTTAAATTGAAGCCAAAATTCTATGTTTTAACTCTTAATATATCCTAGAATAGAGTTGTTATTATAATATGAACAAAGAGCTGTTGGCCATTCAACCCCTGTAACCTGCTCTACTCTTCATTTAAATCGTGGCTGATCTATTGTAGCCTCAGATCCACATTTGGGCTATCATGCATTCAGAGGGCCAATTGCTTCAATCTAGTATATAGCTTATTAACAGTGTCAGCATAATGGGCTGAATGGCCTCTCTCAGTCCTATATAGTTCTGTGGTGAATCCTGACTGGTTTGAAGTAATTTTAATGGGGAGTTCAATGCAAACTATTAAAGAACTTCCTTTTACTTGTTAACTCTAGGCTTCCCTGCTCATATGTCTGAGATATACCTTTAAATCTTAGTGATTGTTTCTAGAGGATCACAGACTTAAGTATGAGAGAAATAACTTAGTTTCCATGTGCAGGATCATGTCCAGTTGACATATCAGTGTTACTGCCTGAAAGCTGTTTAATTTGTCCATGTATTATCCACAACAATGAGTTTGAATGTTTTGTACAAATACCTGATGTTCTCACAAGTGAATACTTTCCTGTCATCAACAGAGAATTGCAGAGGTCATGAAGAGAGTAAGGGGGCCTGGCCAAGATGAATCAAAGGTAATACACTTCCCAACTTTTCTGTCTGTTTTGCTTCATTTTTCACAGTTTATTTTTCATATTTATTTGCTGTGCTCTTAAACAGTCGTCTGGAATTTACGGTAAGTCTCCAAGTGATGCTTGTTGTGTTTCTCTGCCCTATGGCTGAGCTGTTGGCCAGTGCCTTGCATTATCAGGAACTCTGTGCTTGATGATACAAGTAAAGTATGCTCACATTAAACAGGGAAATGTGCAAAACCTGTGCACTACAGAAAGTTATCGCTAGTCAGAATGTGAATGCTGCTGAGAGGCACACAGAATCTTACTGTGATCAAATCAGTAAGCTAGGATAAAATTGGAACAATCACAGGTTCCCCTCCAAGCCACTCACCATCTCAACTTGGAAATATATCACCATTCCCTCACGGTGAGTGGGTCAAAATCCTAAAACTCCCTCCGCAACAGCAATATTGCTCTACCTACAGCACATGGCCTGCAACAATTCAAGAAGGCAACTAGGGGCAGGCAATAAATGCTGGACCCAGTCAGCAGTGCCTGCATGCCATGAATGAATTTTTTAAAATATCACACATTGCCCTTGCGGTTGTAATAGATCCCAATGGATCAGCTGTTATTGGAAAGACCAGGTTCGAGTCCAGTAACTGTCTGAAATGTGCATCACAAAATGTCAGTGCAGTCACCTGAGGAAGCATAAGATGGGTAGGGTTGTAACTTTTTTTTAGGTAGGTTACTTTCCACTGGAAATTTAGCATTTTCTCTCCCTAAGCTGAAACTGCAGTGAGAGGCATGAGTCATTGAAAATTTAAAAGTGAGACTGATACAGTCTATTGAGGGTTGAAAGATAGAGTTAAGATGCAGATCATCTAGGATTGAATTAAATTGTGGATTAGGCTTGAGTGAATGGTCTTGTGAAAGGTCTTGATTCTTAAATCTTAAAGAATGCTGAAATGGTGACCCTCCTGTGTTTACACAGAAGGATGGAAGATCAGATGATACTACTGCTGAGGAAAGCAGTGAGGATGAACACAGGAACGAGGATGCAGATGAAATAGGTGAGTGACTCAGCGCAGTTTTTACCATTCGTTCATTGCTGTTGAAATGCTGGTCCTCTATTGAGCCTATCTGAATACACACCTCTCTATCGTTTCAGGAGGAGGGCATTAGAGACAATATTTTCTCAGTGCAACTGAAAATCTAATGAATACACAGTAAACAGCACCATGTGGAAATCTGATGATATTGTGCTTTCTGGTTTGAAACCCAGATTTTTTTTCAGTGAGGTCTTTTACTCCTCCCAATAAAATTCCCTAAGTGCAAAACACGGGGGATCTTTACCTGTCGATCAGGGAAGTAAATTGTTTGGTTGCAGTCGAATAATTTTCCTTTGTGACAGTAAATCCGTTCCCCTAAAAGTATTAAATAAAAACCGAAAGAACTGCGAATCAGGAACAAAAACAAAGTTGCTGGAAAAGCTCAGCAGGTCTGGCAGCATCTGTGAAGGAAAAAACAGTTAACTTTTCGGGTCCGGTGACCCTTGGTTCTGAGGAAGGGCCACCGGACCCGAAACGTTAACTCTGATTTTTCTTTCACAAATGCTACCAGACCTGCTGAGCTTTTCCAGGAACTTTGCTTTTGCCCTTAAAAGTATTATTGTTTTAGCATTGACATTGATGCTTGCATGTATATCCCTGTGTTTAAAACCCTTACTATCCTTCTCCCTCTCCCCCTCTCTGTAACAATTAGAAACTCCCCACATCTGACTCCGCCTGCTTGTGTATCTCTCCTCCTGACCCCACCATTAAATGCATGTTTTTTATTATTAATGGGATGTGAATGTCACTGTCTGGACCAACATTGATTGTTCATCCCTAATTGCCCTTTGATCCGAATGGCTTGATGGGGCCATCTCAGGAGGCAGCTTAGAGTCAGCTGCATTGCAGTGGGTCTGGAGTCACAAGGAGGCAAGACCAGGTAAGGGTGGCAAAATCCCTAAAGGGCTTTAGTGAACCCAATCGGTTTTTATGGCAACTATCCTACTTTTAATATTTCGCCATCTGTTGTAGTGGGTTCAAACTTGTCAGGCTTCTAGGCCAATGACATTACTATTATGTCCCTGTCACTGGAGGGGAATTGAGTTTAAGAGCCATGAGGTTATGCTGCAGCTCTATAAAACTCTGGAATATTGGGTTCAGTTCTGGTCACCTCATTATGGGAAGGATGTGGAAGCTTTAGAGAGGGTGCAGAGGAGATTTTCCACGATGCTGCCTGGACTGGAGGGCAGGTCTTAGGAGGAAAGGTTAGGGAGCTAGAGCTTTTCTCACTGGAGCAAAGAAGGATGAGAGGTGACTTGATAGATGTGTACAAGATGATGAGAGGCGTAGATAGAGTGGATAGTCAGAGACTTTTTTCCCAGGACGGAAATGACTATTACGAGGGGGCATAATTTTAAGGTGATTGGAGGAAGGTATAGGGGAGATGTCAGAGGTAGGGTTCTTCGCACAGAGTGGTGGGCGTGTGGAATGCGCTGCCAGCAGTGGTAGTGGAGTCAAATATTTTAGAGACTTTTATGCGACTCTTGGATAGGGACATGGAGGATAGTAAAATGTAGGGTATGCAGGGTAGATTGATCTTAGTAGGATAGTTTGTCGGCACAACATGGTGGGCCAAAGGGCCTATACTGTGCTGTACTGTTCTATGTTCTATGTCTCTCCCATGCTTTCAACTACCTAGCTCCCAACTCTGCAATTCCCTCTAGAAACACATCCTTTTCTGATTCCTGTCTAAAACCCAGCACTTTAATCCTTTCGCCCTCCAAATCTCTGTGCCTTTGAATTAACTTTAGGCTTCCACAAAATTCTGAAACCTATTGGAAGATGTTTCAGTGTGTAAACAGATACAATCGTTGGTTTATTTTCTGTCTCATTATGTCATATATTATAAAAAATAGCAAGATGCTCTGTTATCAAATGTATTCTTTATGGTTTTCCATTTGAAGTAAAAGCTATATTTCTCATTTATGATTTGCATGTTAGATAGCACCAATGGAATTGATGAGCTTCAAGTTATTGTACAAGAATGTGCTGAGTTGTCAGATGGAGCTGTCTCTGTTGAGATAACTGAACTGAATGGTGTTCATGCGGTGAATACCACCAGCGACCATTTGAACAAAGACCAGACAGAGGATGTGAGGTAGGTTTGTATTTTGTCTTCTTTGTTGTTTCACAGAGTAAACTGGGCATTCTGGATCTAATACAAGATTTTGTGGGCAAAGTGAGAAATCACACAACACCAGGTTATAGTCCAACAGGTTTATTTGAAAACACCAGCTTTCAGAACCTGAGTCCTCCTTCAGGTGTTAATGAGAGAGGTGGTATCAGACGCAGAATTTATAAGTAAAAGATCAAAGGGTCCCACCACTGATGATGTAGTAAACATACCTAAGATGCTGTTAAATCTTTAATCAGTCAGAAGGTTTTAATTGAGTAATATGTGTATGTAAATCCCCAAATTCCTTTTAAGTCACTGTCCTGAGAGAACTAACGGTTCGATGTTTTAGGTCAGACACTGCATGTTAGGTGTGAGGCCTTGTTTAGAATCTGTTTGTTTTGGTTTGGAGTCAGACTGGTTTTATTTAGTAGGAATTTATAAAATGCCACATTGTCTATAAATTGCGTGCTTTTTGAACAAAATAGAATGTATCTGCAAATACAAATTCACCCCATAGATTCACATCCGTGTGCGTGAGTGAAGGAGGAGTGAGGCTCCGAAAGCTTGAGTTTTCAAATGAACCTTTTGGACTATAACCTGGTGTCGTGTAATTTCTGACCTTGTCCATCACAGTCCAACACTGGTAACTCCACGCCAAGGTTTTGTGGAAATGTTGGACAAATTGGGAATGTTTCAGAGCTGGGTTTAATTTTCCATGTAGGTATGGTTCACAATGTTTTAGTGGAAATGGTAATAAGAAGAATGAGTTTAGAGACCAAATGAATGAAATAGCTCAAATTGGTGTTCAGACAAAATGGAAAACTCTAGTCTAGTGGGAGCTTTGGCTGGAGCTGTGTCGGCAGTAAAGAATATGAATCTAAAACAATAAAGGCAAAACACTGCACATGCTGAAAAGTTGAAATAAAAACAACGTACTGGAGAAACTCGGCAGGTCTGGCAGCATCTGTGGGGAGAGAGGTGAGTTAATGTTTCATGATCATTTTGACTTCAGAACTGAAAGTTTGTTATAAAGTGGTTTTTAAGCTGTAGGCAGATGGGAAGGAAGAGAGAGTGCAAGTGTCTGAGAGCCAAAGACACACAGGAGTGCTAACAGTGGTAAAGGAATAAGAGTGATGTATAATAGTTGTAAATGTTAGTTGTGGAAGGAGCAAATTGGTCCACTGTGCTGAGAACAAAGTCAACAGTACACAGCTGTGGGAGGGTGGGGGCTTTTTAAAAAAAAAAAAGAGAGCAAAGATCATACTATGAAGGTGTGGAATTCAATGTTGAGTGGAGGAAAGAGGGGAGGGGAGTTGCATTTTTGATTAACGGGAGTATCACAGCAGTAGTCAGAGATGAAATAACTGAGGGATCATCCAGTGAGGTGCTGTGGGTGGAGCTTAGAAATAAAAAGGGGATAGTGACATTATTGGGGTGGTACTATAGGGCCCCAAATAGTCAACAGGAATTAAAGGAACAAATATGCAGGGAGACTGGGGAGACTTGCAGGAGCAGTGGGGGTTTTAATTTTCCTAACATAGACTTGGACTGCCATGGTGTTAAGGGCTTAGATAGGGTGAAATTTGTTAAATGTGTTCAGGCAAGTTTTCTCAAGCAGTATGTAGAGGGTCCTACTTGGCAAGGGGTAAAACTTGACCTACTCTTGAAATAGGGCAGGACAGGCGACTGAGGTGACAGTTGGGGAGCACTTTGGGACTAGTGACCATAGTTCTATTAATTTTTAAATAGTTATGGAGAAGGACAAAACTGGATTACCGGTTCAAATTCTAAATTGGGGCAAGGTGAATTTTGATGGAATTAGACAGGAGCTTGCAGGGGTTGATTGGAGCAGTTTGTTTGCAGACAAAGGGATCTCTGGCATGTGGGAGGCCTTTAAAGTGTGATAGCTAGAATTCAAGGTATGTTCCTGTGAGGGTGAAGGGCAAGGTTGGCAGGGGGTAGGGATCCCTGGATGACGAGATATTGAGGCTTTGAGCAGAAAAAAGGAGGCATGGCTCAGGAATGGGCAGCTAGGATCAAGAGAATCCCTGGAGGTATATAAGTGGTACAGGAATTTACTGGAGAAGGAAATCAGGAGGGCGAAAAAGGGGCACGAGGTAGCTTTGGCTGAGAAGATTAGGGTGAATCTAGAGAGATTCTTTAAGTATATTAAAGGAAAAAGAATAACTAGAGAGAGAATAGGACCCCTCAAGGACCAAAGTGGACATGTCCTGTGGTTCCACACATACATGAGCGAGATCCTTGATGAATATTTCTCCTGTGTTTACCGTGAAGAAAGGTATGAAGACTTGGGAACTTGGGAAAGTTATCATCATTAGC